GGCACAGCTTCTTTAGTCTAAAATCCTAAATTGCATACATGTTCATATACAAATTGAACTATTAATAACAGGACCATCCCGGCCTTATAAATAATTTTGACTTGATGAACCTCTGTCTATATTAAGACATTGAACTTTTTTTCAATAAATGTACATCAGTAGGAAAAAAAAAAACCCTACAACTTGGATCAAAATCCAGGTGGCACTAGGCACCCTCAGCACATCAGAAGATGAACTGAGGTAGTCATAGCACTTTTTGTACTTGTCAAAGTTGTCTTCAGCAGGACATATTAAACAAGGGGTTGCTTGAAAACTTAAGTAGTGAATGTCAAGCAAAAGTAGCCAATCGAACAGCAAGACTGAATTGTTCCAGATCCACCTGCACAATTTTTACAGTTCCTTCTGAAACCTTAAAATATTTCACAAAGGAGTCAGGCCCTAAAACGAACCATGTTTTTGTTTCTTAGACCACTGTTTCAGTCTAACAAGAATTTTGTAAATGAGTCAAGCATTTTAATATCTGAAGTTCCATCCTGTATTAAAAATTAGTATTAGAAAAAAAAAATAGTCACAGAAAAACTCTATGATTTTMTATGTTTTAAATTATAGTATCATAACTGAGGGAGATCAATTAACATTGTGATTTCATAAAATTATTAAAATTTTGGCCTTGGAAAGCAAAGAATCATGGCCTAAAACATGCAGTTTATCAAGAAAGTGTAGAAGTAAAAGAGACATAAAAGCACTACATCAGTGTTACAAGTACATTTTGTGGATCTAATTATAGGTGCATCATCACAGAACAAAGATACAATACCTACACCCCACTAATTAAACATTTTTACAGCCCTGATAACCATTAAACCTGGAAATGAAAATAGGAAGGAAAAAGTGCTACAGCTGCAGAACTGCCTGCAAAAATAAGCGGCTCTATGGGACTCAAAAAGAAAAGAGAATAGGAAAAGAAGTGGATTTGCAAATAAGTTCACAGCATTGAATTACAGAGCTGAAGTAGAGCCTACTAAGTCTACAGCAGCCTTTCAAGGCAGATGAAGTTTGCTTAGAGGAAAAACCAAACTGAATTTTTAATAAATAGCATAGTCTGGATTTCAAAGGGCACTGGATTCAACCTTCTGCTTCTAGGCCTAAGTACAGATTTGGTGTAATTTTAGATAATGTCTTTGGACTTAAGACTTCAGAAACAGAACCTTATTTGAGGCAGAACAATACAAATGGCTGCTTTAACTTCAAAGCAATATTTCAAAGGTTTCAATAATAGAAACATTCAGCTAAAGCAAGAAAAAGATGAAACTGAAATGATAGAAATATCACTACAAATGGTCCCTGCTTTGTGCAATGTCATTTCCAATGTGCTTCAGACTGTAGAGAGAAAGAATGCCAGTGCACCTATTATGGAATCATATGAACATGCATATTTACCATGAGAGTACAAAAACTCTTCTCAATATCTATTTTAACAATGACAGAAAATACACAGAATAAAGGATACTAAATAGCTATTCTTTATCGTTCATTTATAGTGCAATATGATTTTGAAAAGAAATTTTAAACATGACATTTCATTTCCACTTGAGGTGCAGTTTTAATATTATTTAACTGTAAGAAAGGGGGGAAATAAGCTCTAATATTTTAATAATTTTTATTAGAAGATTACAAGTACAGCCTTGACAAGCCAATGAGGCAAAAGCAAGACCACAGAAAATAAAAAGTAAAGCTGAAAAGCCTCTGACACATGCTTACTTATTCTCTCCCAAAAGGAATGCCTAACTCCACACTTACACATCCTACTCAGAAGACTGTTACTCAGTTACTTTCCAAAACAGAACTTTTGCCTTTAGATGTCTTCACTATGGCTTACTACACCTAACAGAGATAAAATGGATTTGCTTCACGCTTATGAATTTCACTTAAATAAGGTTCCCCAATACAATGGTGATTGTCCTTCTAAAGGGAAAATGGAAACACTTGTCTTGTAATCCTTGCTCAAATAAAAACACCAGAGCAAATGGCTTAAAGATTTCCCATACAGAAAAAACTCTTTGCCTTCAGGAATCTGTACGTCATGTTTCCTGTAGCGACATAYATCTGTTCTTGCTTTCATCACTTAAGTGATGTTGAAAACAATTGATGAAAGAGAATACTTKAAAAAATGCAATAATAAATTCTAATGATAATGGCTTACCTTGTCTCTGYGTGTAAACTACATATGGGTAAGGAAGGATGGTATGGGAAGCACCCGTAACCCACAGCATAATGCTTCCCTAAAGTCAATGGTGCTACACTGATCTACTCACCTGAAGCTTTCTCACAGCTTGTTTTAAGCAGCCCTAATATATTTTGGGTCATGAACACATACATCATTTCCAAAAGACAGTGGCTTTGGAAATTGTCTGGACAACAGAGGGTGCTTTAATGAACAAGATACTTTACAAGAGAAGAAGCATACACCTCTCTCTGTTTAATTTTTTTTTTTCTAAATATCTCCTTAGACAATCACCCATATTTACCATTCTAATTTTCTGACTATGGAAAATTAATTAAAAAATGCAAATTTTTTTTTTCCTACCATCTACACCCAAACTTAAAATCCTAGTCTATCTGTATTCTCCTCAGTCTTCTATGAAGACTCCAGGCAAGGATTCTGTTAGTCTAGATTATGCTGTTCATTACACCTTTACAATCCTGATGAATTACTGCTTCCATCACGGCCCATCAGCCCAGCCCTTGCACAGCTGTATTAACTCTGTACAGAATGGTTCTGTGCGAAGCAGAATGGTTCACTGTGTGCTTGTAGAGAAGATGCAACCTGTGTGTCACCAGTAAGCAGCACCTGAGCTGACAGAAAGGATGTCATGGCCAAAAAAGTAATCCCTGTGGAAAAAGGGAATAGCCACTGTATTCTTCCACCTCCTACCTCTTCCATCTGCCCCCCCTATTGAATGATCCTTAACTTGCATTTATTGGTAGGACTTACCTGCCTACCAGCCTGCTGTTTATAGAAGCATTAACAGCAGAATCATAGAGTGGTTTGGACTGCAGGAGACCTTAAAGGACATCCAGCTGGTTCCAACCCCCTGTCATGGGCAGGGACACCTTCCACCTGACCAGGATGCTCAAAGCCCTATCCTGCCTGGCCTTGAACACATAAGGGCTGGGGAATCCGTAACTTCTCTGGGCAACTTGTTCCAGGGTCTCACCACCCTCAAAGTAAAGAAATTCTTCCTAATATCTAATCTAAACCTCCATCTACCAGTTTGAAGCCATTCCCCCTGGTACTGTCACTACATGCTCTTGTAAAGAGTCCATCTTTCTTGTAGGTTCCCTTCAGGTACTGAAAGGCTGCAATTAGGTCACCCCAAACAATTAGGCTGAACAATCCAAATCCTCTCAGCCTTTCCTCATAGGAGATCCCTCCACCCCACTAACCATCTTGGTGGCCCTTCTCTGGACTTGCTCCAGCAGTTGACTGTCCTTCCTGAGCTGAGGACCCCAGAGTTGGAGGCAGCACTCCAGGTGGGATCTCAGCAGAGCAGAGCAGAGCAGAGCAGAGGGGAAGAATTCTCTCCCTCACCTGGTTTTGGATGCAGCCCAGGACACGTTTGGCTTTCTGGGCTGTGAGTGCACATTGCTGGGTCATATCCAAACTCTGATCCATCAGCACCCTCAGGGCCTTCTCCCCAGGGCTGCTCTTGATCGGCTCATCCCCCAGCCTGTGCTGATACCAGGGATTGCCCATGTCCATGACAGAGTAGTGCATTTTGTAGTTTCCCCTTTTACAGAATCACACAAGAAGCTGRGTTGGAAGGRACCCACAAGGATCAGCGAGTCCAACTCCCAGCCCTGYACAGCATCAGCTCCAARAGTCACACCATRTRCCCAAGAGTATTGTCCAAACATTTCCTGAACCCATTTACTCACAGATCATTAATTTCTAGTCTGTAGTGAATAGCATTAATCCAAAGCTTTTTATTATATTTTCACTTCCCAAGCTATAATTTAAAGATTCCTGAGTATTTTTCTTGAGTGGTTTTCCTAGGGGTGAACAGCCACCACACAGTTCTCCATTCTAAAATATGGGGTAGAATTTGGAAATAAAATGCCACAGTGCTCATAGAGAAACTAAAACCCAGCTCTGCACACTCCTCCAGCCCTCCCCTCACAGTCTGAACCCTTTTGTTCTAACTATTCTTGCAAGTGCAGCCTGCTGCAAAGGTAAGCTGTCCTACCAAGGCTGACTCTGAATTTGCAGACACTGCTGTCCAGGATGCCAGGGCAAAGAACCGTGCTCATCACAAAAGCCCAAACAGGCAGGCAGGTGAAGTGTTAAATAGCAAACAGTCAGGTAAAGGCAGAACTTAGAGCCCTAAGATGTAAGAAAAGTGAGTTTACATTTCTGMTGCTCACTGGAAATAAATTAACACAGGCAGGAATTTATCCACTAACTCATGAAGGAGGGCACTCCACTGGGGTAGCAGAAGTAGTTGACTGCAATTCAATGCTTYGGGGGGTGAGGAAAGAGACAGATTTCCCCATCTGCACCTTTCCTCATAAAAGGTACACCTTTACAAATATCACATAGAGAAAACCTCTCTAGTCTGTGGGTGCCAGCCTGGTGGGAATCATGGTAAGGTAATCTTAATTTATCTGTATCTCACCATGCAAAAGAAGTCACAGATTTTTCAGGAAGTTTCATCCTAGTTTTTTACAGTACAAACTGTAACCTCTAGCAACACATGATCTACTTCCTCACCTGGTGCTATGAAAAGTCACCCTGTGCAGGACTCGGGCAGTAGCACACCTCCCATGTTTACTTAATATTCGTACAGTGCCASAAAGCACAACTTCTGAGCTTCTCAGGTGCTTCACAGCTGAAGCCTCAAAGAAAGCAATGGAGCCAGAATCACTTAATGACCAATGGGAGTACTAATGGCYTGGATCTTACAATGCTCTATCACACAAAAACTCAGGATTTAATTTACCTTGACCTTGTAGAACTCCTTGACTTCAGGCTGAATGGAATCAAAATCACCACTGATGTAATCAGGCAAGAAGCTGAAAGGAAAGCAATGAGCAGTGAAATGAAAAATTAATCCATCTTACTATATTTAATATTTATTTTCTCAAGAGTACTAAGGGGTACAAGCATTAATATTCTAAAAGGAATATGAGTTCCTTAAAAACATTTCAAAACAAGAATTGATGTCGAGTGATACAAAATAAGACAACATGAAATGTAAAACTGGTAAATCTATTGTCCCTTTACTGAGGAAGCTACACTTTGCTTAGATGCTCATAAATCTCTCTGGGTCAGTAAGACTTGCATCTGCCTGGTCCTAGAAAGACAACTCTCAAATACCTTTCAAGTCTATCACTCAGTCAGCAGAGTGTTTGAGATAGCACATCTGACTCCTGTACATCAAGCCTCAGAGGATATAATTTGTCAGAAGATGATGATGCTTCTTGGACAGCTGGTATGCCATAAATGTTTCAAGGATTTGTATTTTAGTTAGTGATGTCATCTCATTTCTATTCTTCTTGATTATTAAAAACACTCCCAAAATATGGAAGCCAAATGCTTAGTGATTTTTAACTCACATGAACTAAATTTCAACTCCTAACAATCATTCATACAGTATTATTGCTGCAAAGCACATGGAAATAATTTTGTGATATTTACCTCATCTTTCCAYGTGCAGACTTTTAATTGCAGAATGTTTAAAAATATTTATTGTATAAATTTTTATGAAATTCATAATGAAACTTCCACTGTRCTATAGCAAGAACAGTGTAAGAATATATTTTGAAAAATACCACAACACCCCCCAAAATCTCAACACAGATACACAGCTTCCCATCTTGCAGAATTTCTTGCATTTTAAGCAGCAGCTGACAGGTGACAGTGTTTCCACCGTTTCAACTGATAAGACTGCACTGAGTTTTGAAAGTGAAGCTGTGACTTTGATTCACTCCAAGGCTCCCATACTTTACAAGGGGTATGAGAGTTCATCAGCAAATTAGTTTCCAGCTCAAACTGAGTTACAAGAAATTCAGCAAAGCATGTGGGGACATATTTTTTCTGCCACATGATTTTAGAAGAATGCTGCTGCAGAGTCTAGAAACTCTCCCTACCGGTAAAACTTACAAAAATCTCACGTTCTCTTTCTGTGCAAAGATTTCAAAAGAGACACTTAGTCACTGGTCTCCATTTTCTTTGAAAACAGAAAGCTGCTTCACTAGAAACTGGTGAGTGTAATTGCTGTGATTTAGGTCATGTGCAACTATAGCATTTCAAATTCACTGCTCTCTACTATTACTAAGGTTGTTATAGAAGGATATGTTCTCAAAATAATTTCTCCAGAAGTGATGATCTCACACTTGCAGTGGCAGGAAGGGCAGTGGKTTTTACTGAGGACACAGGAATCAAGTAGGTTGCTCTGTTTCATATGCCTCCATCACTATGGTTCAAAATCAGCAAAACCAAACAGAAAATTAGGTTTGCTCCTTCATTGTAAGACTGACCTTTTCAAAGTGCAAAAAATACCACATTTTCAAAAGTCAAATTTTAAATTGCTGCCTTTTTACCTTTCCCTGAGTTCACTAATGAAATATTTACTGAATACAACAAACCTAAAAACCTGCAGGTATCCTCTTTCAATTTGTTATTTTCTAATTATTTCTTCCTCATTGAATTAGAGGCATTACAAGTAAACTCACTCCAGGCACTTCAGTGGTGGCCCTGAATGCAAGCCCTGGAGGTGTTCCAGAAGGAAAAACAGCAGCCAATTGTCACAGAAAGCCAACTTGGTATGGCACAGACATCCACTGTGAAGAAAAAGCTGTTCATCTTACTGAAATGCTGTACATAAATCTAAAAGGGTCTCCTTTTTCTTTTCCCCTCTACAGCAGGTGCAGGTCGCAGTGCTTTTAAATAATCAACTACTTCTCCTGAATGCTTCAAGAGACATTAAGTGGGAGCAGAATTAGCCAAAAAAACTGTATCTTCTAACAATCAAGTGCTCCTTCACAGCTTTGTTCTGATCCAAAGTAAAGCAATTTCCAATCAAGAAGCTAGCTGAAGTTGTGTTTGAATTTTCTCCAGCAGAAGAAATAAGGATTTCTGTCGCAGCTTCCATGGGCTCTGCTGGAGCTCCCGGCTGCACTTCCTGAACATGTCCCCTCTGCTGGGAAGCTCTCTGTCCATTTTCAAAATACCTTCTCTGCATCATTCACCTGCAACAACCACAAAACCAGAAATKACTAAARAGAATAAGGAATTGTGGCTGGGAACTTCAAAATTTCAAGATGTCTAGGCCTCCCATTAATGATAATGAAGAGAATTCTTTCTTCTCTTCTCCTTCCCTTTTAGAAACACCAGAAACAAGGAAAGTTCAGAAACTCTTGCCTTATGAATGAAAACAAATCTCAACTCCACTGTTTGAAAAAAATTCTCCCATACATGAAAAAATATGTCTGCTTTATCTTCAGAGGGAGGATGGCTGCTCTTTGTATCTCATTGACTATGCAAACCAGCAAAAGCAAGGCAAAGTTCAGTATTGCTGAATAGACTCAAAGAGTGCATTTGACACTGTCTTTTTTGAGTTCTGTGGAACAAATTGCCTGATCCAAGTGAGCAGATTTGAGTCAAGGCTCTTCTYCAATTAACACAAATGAACAAGAGTCATTGTGTGAAGAGTTCTCCTTGTCTGACTAACCTCAGAGAAGAWTATCACGGATACAGAAATAGGGGAAATAGCTGGGAGAGAGGTATATGGAAAAAAACCTCATCATACTAAAGTAACTAAAGAAGTTACTAAAGTAACAAAAGAAGTTTTGTGATAATTGGCTTTCACTTGCTTGCTCTCATAGAGTTTTGTATTTACTCCTGAGTACAGACTAATGCAGGAGAGCAGGCTCGGGAGAATCACACATCAAGCTTACTTCCATGTGAGTGGAAGAAATTATGTCAGGAAAAAAGTAACAAGAAAGGCCTCTCCATAAAAGTTAAAACAGCTGCCCTTATTTAAARTACAGACTAAAACCAGGTATTATATTAGTCTAACCCATGTTTTCCTGCCCTCTGAACTCAAGTTCATGAATAATTCTTATTTGAAGGCATAACTGTATTGGAGATGACATATTTCAGTGACATATCTGACACACATCCTTTTAGTGAAGGAGTTTACCTTTTTGCCCATGATGGCAAAATATGTCTTTAATTCCTTTTCCAAATAGAGTTTAAAATTTTAATTTCTAAGCAATCCAGATGATGCAGTCTACTGCATTTCAGAACCCTGTTTTATCAGTCTAATTAGCTATTAATTATCACTATGCATATAAGGTCATGACYAGCTCAACTGGCTCCATTCTCTGCTGCTTTATATTGACATTGATGAGGAGTGGGCCAAGTCCTTAATCCTAATGGGACTGAAAGGATAAAATTCATGTGAGATCAGCTAGTCTACTCAGTCTTTCCTAGAGCTGTCAAAAAGCAGAACACCAGGGCACTRGGCAACAAAAAATCTTCAGARATTTGGGGCAACCAGAGTTTTTCTYACTCTTTTCAATCTTTTTCAGTTTTTCTGGGTGTTGAGGGGTTTATTTTGATTGGATTTTGGTTGTTGCTTCTTGCTGTTGTTTGGAGTTGCCTTTTTTCTTCCTTTGAGTATTTTAGAATCATACTGCATCCATCTAAAATGAGTAYGGTGTCAGGATTACTTTCAGGTAARGACCCAAAGGCACTTCCATACCAGACTGCTTATCTTTTATCTATGTAACATTTAAAAAAAGCCCAAACAAAAACCAAATAAACAAAAAGCACAAAAAACCCCAAACAAACAACAAAAAATCCCACTACAGTTTCAATATGAAACCTTTAAAGGTTTAGCTAGCTTATCAAGAAAAAAACTACTATTTCTCAGCAGTTTTGAAATGGATCCMAGCTAGAGGATTTATACAAATTGGATAAAGGCTGAATGTTGACTGAACAGTTTTATGAACACCCAGGATGCTGGGCTGGAAAGCAGGGAGAAAAAATAGAGGTTTGACATAGTTTCAAGATACGCTAATAAATTTTTAGTTACCACTATCATAAAGCATCAATTGATTCTTATCAGAGACAGATTCCAAAATAAATAGAACCTATTTAAACTCTGAGGTTCTTATGCTAAACAAACACAACTGTGCCTTTTGCCTCAAGTAATGCATCTAATGGACACAACAGTATTGTTTTTAAATATTCAACACTAATGAACAGTATGTTAAATTTAAAACATCAGAATACTTGGCTCTTTATTCACTCACTTTAAGAATTCAGTGTGAAGTGTTAAATATGCCTTTTCAMACAGTTATGAAAAACAAAAAAGAAAAACCACAAAAGGCCACATCACACTAGTAGTTTTTACATGCTGCCTTCTTAAATAAAATGCTTGGGCATAACTGCTCAGTTCTATCATTAATTCAAAGTTACAGTTTCCTAGTACTATTGACTTTTCTTGTGATGCAGCTCCTTTAGCACATAATTGCGTGCAATTAACCTCTTTTAAACAAATGTTAACATCAGAGACATGAACACTTAAAGGCAATATCTGTATACCCTTTGATTCCTTCAGCTACAGCACAGAAAATAATCCCCAGTAGATGAATTCTGTGTGTCCCAGTTGTAACATCTGAGGGCACAGAGTGGCTTCCCTATGTTTTTTCTTCACTACTAAAAATAAATTTCAAAATGGGTGTCTTTTACCCTGAACTAATAGGCTACATCTCCATGGAAAAAAAATAAAGAATCAGTGATGATAAAAACACTGCAGTCACTTGGGAATACAGAAGATAAAACTTTCTAGCACTAGTTCAGGATAAGTATTAAAATCAGTTTAACAAAAAAAAAATCCCAACAAGCAAAAATTAATGCTCCCAACTCTACGTTTGCTAACTGATAAGGTGCACTTTCAGCTTGCCCTTCTGAKGTGTTGACAAGAAGAGTAAGTGAGGGCTGTTCTCATCAGAAAGGTGTTAAGTCTGTTTAAATCTGTCAAAAGTATACTGTTATCTGCTGT